ATTTGGTACACATATCCATGTAACCTTGCATTCACATCTTTTACTTAAGTAAATGATGAATACCACACTATAAAATGACTCCATTACAAGTAAAAAAGTCCTGCATTTTAAATAAACTTAAGTAAAACTAAGTATCACAAAAATTCTCTTAAAGTATTGAATTAAAAGTAGAAAATACAAAAAATGTGCCCAGTGACTGTCAAATTATCATATATTGTATCATTAGATTATTGTCAATCGTGCATTAATGAAGAAAAAAAAACATGAAGTTGTAGTCGGTTAAGATGGAGCTCACTTAAACCTCAGCATGCTTACACTGTTTACAAGTCAGGATGGGAGGTCGCACATCCTCCACTCTCATCCTAAACACAGGAACACCACAGGGGTGTGTCCTCAGACCCTCGTCTACTCCCTCTTTACCCACGGCTGCACCCCCATTCACACCACCAACACCATCGTCAAATTTGCTGACGACGCCACCATTGTAGGACTGATAACAAACAACAATGAGTCAGCCTACTGGGAGGAGGTCCAGCACTTGGCAGAATGGTGTCTCAGCAACCTGGACCTGAACACCAGCAAGACCAAGGAACTGGTTGTGGATTTCAGACGATCTACACGCACGGAGCACTCTGCCCTCTGCATCAATGGAGAGGAGGTCAAAAGGGTGGAGAGCTTCAGGTTCCTTGGGGTGAACATCTCAGCTGACCTCACCTGGGCTGACAACACAGCCAGGTGGGAAAGGCACTTTACTTCTTCAGGAAGTTAAAGCAAGCTCACCTCCCTCAACCCCTGTTGGTGAACTTCTACAGAAGCACCATTGAGAGCCTCCTGACATACAGCTGCACAGCGTGGTTCACCAACTGCACTGCAGAGGACAGGAGGAACCTGCAGTGGGTGGTGAGGGCGGCTGAGAGAATTGTTGGGACCACACTACCTCTCCTGGTAGATATTTACACTGGTCGACTTTAGAAGAAGGCCACATTCATTGCAAATGACCCCACTCAACCTGGACACCTCCTGTTCTCCCCCCTACCCTCTGGTAAAAGATATCGGACAATGAAGACTAAAACAAACTGTCTCAAGCACAGCTTCTACCCGCAGGCTGTGAGAGCCATCGCCAACATGCAATTAAAATGTTATTTAAGTAAGTAAAAGTCTAAATTTGAGCCCTCTGACTAATATGGCATGATGCTGTATATGACATCATTCACTGACTAATTGAATCATCAGTATGGTAGCAGCGTATCATTGTTGTAATAAGTAAGTAATATTTTATGAAAATATTCAAGTGCAAGTATTTCAACTGTACTTAAGTGTAATATTTGAGTAATTGTGCTTAGCTTCTTTCTACCCCTGCATATAGGAACTTTAAGTATAATGCTCAGGTCCACCATCAAAAGAAATGTATTCATGAGGACATTAAAGTTATCTGTGGTCATAAATGTAACATGAAGAGTGCAGAGTCAGACTTTGCCAACTGGACAAAAACAGTCCTGCACAGTTCACAGAATATCAGCCTCCAACAGATGGTTGGACACACAGAGTAACACCGCCACCTCATTAGTCCGGCATTCAGCAGGACAGATTTTGCCTCAGTGGGTTCTGACAATTTACTTCCTTGACAAAACAACAAAGCCATTCAGTTCCCTTCACCCTCTCTCATACTGTAGACACACAAACACACATGTGCACATACACACCGATATGCAAACAAGACCGGACCACAAAAAAAACATGACCACAGGCCTAGCTGATATGAATAACCCTCATTTTCATAAATTTCACATCTGATCTATCAGCAGCAAGGCGTCTGTGCCTTTGTTTCAGTTCATGGATACGCAGGCAAGAATGAAAATACTTAAAAGACAGTAACACACTCACTATCACTGTTTCTGTGAATTCAGATGACAATACATTGACTTACACTCATTTCCTCATTTGACACCTGAACCTAACCTTTGCCTGAACACAAAACCAAGTCAGTACACTAGATTGGTTATATTTACATTTTGGAGATTGCTTTTTGTTGCCAAAAGAGATTCACATCCTCACAATACGACTGGAAACAGATTTCTGTCCCAGCAACATGAGTAATTCAACACACACACACACACACAAACACACACACACAAACACTGCATAGCCAACACCCACACATATGCAAATCATAGTAGTTTGTCTACGATACTATAAAATGTACACAAACTCTCTCTCTCCCTGTATACACAAAGTCCTTTAAAAACTTTTTACATATAAATGACTGAACAATACACCTATGCTATGAGACGCAACACATCTGTGGTCCTTACTGCATGTCACAAAAGACTATCTCATCTGCATAACAACAGTGATGTTATCTGCTTATGTTGGGAGATAAGCAGGCCGAGTTGTGTTGGCAGTGCTGGATGAAGAGGAGGACGTTGTGGTGAGGATTGGATCTGTGCGCGTTGGAGTGGATTTAAGAGAAGTGCACCTCTGTGTGTTTCAAGGGGGGTGTGTGATATTAAAGTTTGCGTTACAGCCGCACACAGAGCCCTCAGTGACGGCACAAGCGTTTGTTCAGGGTGAAGTTTGGGTTTGACAGCCAGGATATGCACACACACACTCACAAAGGTGTGTTTACCTTCAGACTCTGAAGTCCTGGAAGCGTCCTGGATTGTTGCTGTGGCTTTCGTGTGGTAACCGGGGAGAAGTCCATCATGTGTGTAATCTGTAGTATCAGGAAAAGCAATGAGATACACTTGAAGCACAAATTTTACAATATAAGGAAATGCAATGAGGTATAATACATTGTTTAGACGTGACCCAGTTTGTACCACTCCTGCATAATCTGTTTTTTATAGGAAGATGTAAATGTAAGGCCACATTCACTGTTACTATGTTGACAGTAATTAGCTTTAGATAAATATCAAGGCTATTTTTAACTTGTAACAGCGGCGTTGTTTGGCCTGGGCATGTTTATTTGTTTTTACAAAAGTAAATTTTTTTCCTGTTCACCTGTCTTTCTGATCATGTATTAAAGATCCTGTTTTCACAGCCTCACAGCAGAATATTTGCAGCAGTGACAGAAGCTGTTTTTTTTTTTTTTTTTTTCTGCCAAGTAGGTTTTCTCATATGCAGAATTTTACCCTGTGTTTTGCATTAAAGTGAACACTGGTAAGCGGAACATTTTTAAAGAAGGATGAGAGATTTAAAAAACAAGTGTTATAAGTCAAATAAACAGCAAGTGTAGCAAAGGTATAAAAAATAATAAAAGTCATATAAATATTTACAATATGCAGTAATGTACAAATTATTCACCTGAGAATGTGTATGATTACATGGTACGTAATGTTAACAGCATGAAATGTTAAAAGGATAAAATTATTCCTGTTTAAAAAGCTCCTCAATAATGGAATGCATTAAGTCAGAGATGAGGCAACAACTAACAAATTATGGCAACAGGTTGTCAAGTAACAGTGAAAACACATTTTATTGCTTATTGTACGTTGCTGTATTTAGATAAGTCATCATTAGGCTATAGATAGAATTTCGTGTCAGCAACACAGACATAGACTTTCTGAGGCAAATAGGGACCTTGGCATTAATATTGATAATCATCCATTATCTATACACCACTTAATCCTCACTAGGGTCATGGGGGTTGAAGTCTATCCCAGCTGACTCAGGGTGAAGGCAGGGGACACCATGAACAGGTCACCAGTCTATCACAGGGCTACACTTAGAGACAGACAACCAAGCACACTCACATTCACACCTACGGATAATTTAGAATCACCAATTAACCTCAACATGTTTTTGGACTGTGGGAGGAAGCCGGAGAACCCGGAGAGAACCCACGCTGCACGGGGAGAACATGCAAACTCTATGCAGAAAGATCCTGGTGCCCCCACCGGGTCATGAACCGATGACCTTCTTGGTGTGAGGCTACCAACTGCGCCACCCTGCAGCCCTATTGAGAATCATTTGCACACAAATCTGTTTGCAGAAAGTCAGACCCAATCTGTTCAAAATATACAAAACTAGTCCCTAAAACTTGTATTTAACAACATCTCCAATATTGTTCAAAAGAGCTACATATATTGCCAAAAAAATATATAACCTAAAATAATTCCTCAGCATGCCTTTTAATTGTTATTGATGAAAAAAAAATGACCTTGACCTGTGATAAACTTCAAAAAAAGATTTTTCTATTTACCAAGAAAAGTGTTTGCTTCAGTGCCCCAGCAGAGTACCTGTAGATTATACAACTATCAAGATTTTCTTTATATAGTTTTAAATTGTATTAAAATAAAGTATCATAATAACGTCAGTCTCGTCACTCCTTTATCATAAAATGAACATGATCACAATAAAGACAACACAAACCACGCAAAGTGCAATTGGGATGTAAAGTGTGAGTTCCTTGAGGCTCTCCTGATTCTAAGAGAACACTGAAAGGTCATCACAATGCCCACTTCACAATCTGTTGAGGCATTGCAATGAGTTACAGTGCTGAGTCCAGGGGTTGTGAACCGTTTCTCTGAGCAGGAGACGCCCCCGTTAGTGTATAAAGCCCCACAACTATCAAACTGCTTCCTCTACACAGACAGAGACCTTCACAATAAAAGCACAGCTGAGAAATTGGAAACTATTCCTGTGTTCTGGCTGTGTGTAAATGTGAAGAACATTTTATTAAAATTTATTATACATGTTTCTTGAGAAAGTGGCACTAAATAGTCCACTAATTTGCCTTGTAAATATTTAAAGTTCATGCCTCAAAGTCGGCAATCGTACATTTGTGAGTTGTGTGTAATGATTTGCCTGTGTTGTATTTTAGGGGAAAACAATAGCAAATTGTTTTTTTGTTTTTTTTTGGGAGACACTTTGACTCCAATCAGTAACACTCTCTACAAAAGGCCTTTACTTTTGAGGATATACCCACTGATCCCTTTTTTTTCGTGTCTAACTTGACGTGATGACCGAGGCGCTCACTTTCTTCCCCTGCTGTCGTCGTCAGGATACAGCGGCACCGAGGCGCATCCACAGACACACAGGAGCTCAAACTAAATCTCAGTTTAACTGGATTCTATCGTTTATCTGCCGGATTTGATCAGTTCATCACTTCTACAGAACTGCTCACAGGTAAGTTTCTGCTCTAAAGCTCGTCACCCCCCCACACACACACAGACAGCTGAACGGTGTCTCACCGTGGAGACCAACAGCCCACTTCTAACTGCGCTGCACTTTGTTTTTAGGCAGGACATGAAATATTTATTTATTCGTGCATTGACTTGTACTTCATGATGGGAATGCTTTGGGAATTTTTAACTGAGTCTTCTCTTGTTTTAGGGCGTTTGTGTTTCAGAGCTTTGTGAAGTACATGCATGGTTGTTTATGTGTTGTTTACAGCCTACATGTGGTGGCTTAAGTAGAAATCAGATGCTGCCAATGTTACACTGTGTTGTGCAGAAGCTTTGAAGATGTCTATGATAGTGTTCTTTCTCTCTCATGGTAAGCTCTTACTGTAAAAAATTAAAGTTTCTGAAATTTTTTTTTTTTGGAACAAACTAATGTTATTTTACACGTTGCCCTATTTTATTAAACTACAGATAATAAAGTAAAATAATTGGGGAAAAAAAGAATGTATATGCTTGGTGTAAAAACAACAACAATAAAAAAAAAAAACAGGCCCAAACTGTAAATAATGTCCACATCAAAAATATTATTTTTGCAAATAATAATTTCTTCTTTATTTTTGTTCATAAAATGTGTGTGTTTAAATCTGCAAAAATGTCAATATTTTACAGATGTTTTCTGTTATTGGAAAGAAAAATGATCAGTATAAAGAATTTAAAAAACGGGTAACCATTTTTAACTGTTATTTTACAGATTTTCCCTGTTTTGCTTAACTGTAGGTGATATCAAGCACAATCACACAAAAAAGTATTAATTGACACGTGAAACAGGCCAACACTGCAGAGTCCACGTCAAAAATCTGTATGATATTTATTATCATTATTATTTTACAATGTGTGACCATAAAATCACATTGTTTTACTGTATTAATGTAAATCAGCAAAAAAAAAAAAGATGTTTTCACAGTTTTTTTTTTTTTTCTGACACCCTTATGACCCACTTTTTCCCGTTTTACACTCTCCTACTACACTCTGCTGCTTTATTCCAAATGGATCTAGCATCATGCCCCCCAGATTGGGTATACCTGAATGAAACCATATGTGTTTACATGCCTCCTTCTCTACTCCACCTCTCCACCTGCAGAACCATGGACTTGTTGCCAGACTTATGGAAGCAGGACTACTGGCTTCCTCCTGGTGTGACCTGGAGAGACATGGAGCAGCTGGCAGACTCTGACCGACCCCGACCCCAGGACCTGCTCATAGCTCTGCCCCTTGCCCTGGGCTTTGTTGCCCTACGATATGTGTTTGAGAGGTACAACACACCCGAGCTGTAAACATATGATTGAGTTACTGTTTGGGACAGTGGAGGGCTTATTATTGTAGGTCACTGTCTTTTCTGCTGTGCAGGAAAGTTAATTAAACTCTCCATCCTGCCTAACCTGAAATAATAACCACATCCCACTTTTAATCAGTCATCTGAGGTTTTATTCAAATATGGTTGGTCACGCAATGTTTCCTGAGTATGACCAAGCGTCCAGTATCATACAGAGGACTTCGTATTTGTAAGAGGATATGAGCTGTGGGACAGTGAGCAGGTGTTTGTGGGAAAGCCGAGCAGGCATTGTTATCATCAAGGAAAAAGGCTTTGGGGACTAGAGAGAGAGAAAGGGAGAGAAGGAAAGAAGGAGAGGGAGAGAAAGACCTGAAAGGAGGATTTTTTTTAGTAAGTTATTTAACAAAAACAAACAAAAAAAAGCTGTAGACTGAATCCTATGTGCATGCAATCATTTCACTTTGAACTTGTAAAATCTTCGTGGAACAGATGCACAGTTACAGTTGGAAGTGTCGAGCGAAAGGTGCAGTCGGCTTGTTAAGAGTGCATAACAAGCCCCACAAACACACCCACTCACACCTCACACTGTCCTCACACCTTTTCACTGGATGATTACATCCCCAGTGTGTTACTGTTGTAATATCCACAGGAGTGAAACAACAGAACAATACAAAAGGCTGATTAAACAGTTAAAACACCATTATCTCATATTAATGTTGCTGTCTTGTGAAAACCTGCATCCCCAAAATGCCACATAAAACAGCCTTGTTTCCAGCTCTGTGACAGAGCACTGTAAGATAGTCTAATCGGTTTTTAACAGTTTTAACATAATGCTCAGTGGAAATACAAAACACAAACACACGCACGGCATATTTTGTACAGTAATTACAGCTCAACATCAACTGCAGCCTGACTGCCCTGGCTATCCGACATCATTTGTGTAAGCTGTCTTTTGTTCTCCAGGTTTTTTGCCCCACCCATGGGCAGATGCCTGGGGGTAAAGAATAGACTGCAGGTGACTGCTGCCCCCTCCCTGAAGCTGGAGTCGTTTTACACCCAGAGGAGCAGACAGCCAACACAGGTGAGCCTGAAAAGGCCTTTGCGCGCATGTTTATGTCAGGGGATGTTTTTAATCAGCCGAGGAAAGTAACTTGTTTTTCAGCCGTGGTTACTAAATTGAAAATTTGAAATTGAAAACCACATGAAGAGATTATTAAGTTTAATGCACTGTTAAAGAATAAAGGTAGGGGCGGTGCGAAACATTTGAGGATGATGACACTTTACAAAAAGCATTGTCTACTTGGAGCCCCTTGTCATATTTCAGCAGTCCCTACAAGGACATTTCTGCTCTAACTTCTGACATGTTTTCACGTATAATGCAATATTTCACTAAATAAACAAAACAAATTTGTGCAAATTTAAGCAAAGGCCCTTTTCTGCAACACTAATCATCTCACAGTCCTTCAGGTTTATCTTGTGACCATAACAAAGGTGCCTGACTGCTTGGGAACTACTCGAATAAAATGCATATGAGACAGGTGACAAATTAAAGGAAATACCAAGACTAAGCGCCTTAGTGATGTGTTTGGTCACTGCCAGAACAGCTTCAGTGCACCTTGACATTGATTCTCCATGTCGCTAAAATTCACTAATAGGTGATCAGCTGAATGCCAGCAAAAGGCCCCCCACAATGTAACAGAGCCACTGGATCCCCTCACTGAACGGCTCAAAGGTTCAGCTTTTTCTTTTAATTTGTCCTGTAACTCCACCTCACCAGCTACAACCATCAGATACTACAGACACACTAATGCTTTCGTATTAAAAATCATATTTCATCAGTTATAGGGATCCACTAAAGGAAAGATCAAGTCCACAGGTTTTCATGCTTCTCAAATTTTCTTTTAAAGTGTTTACTTCCTCTTGTTAATGGTTTGGGGGGATCATGTTCTGTGGAAGAGCACAGGGATAACATGAGCGGTGTAACAGAAACACATCTTTGTTCCTGGAGAACCACCCTGGAGGGGAAACACCATCACATGTACATAAGTCATACATTCTTATTATTCTTTCTTATTAATCCTCACTAGATGACCGAATTCAAACCTGCAAATGTTTATTAATCTGTTTAAGAAGATGTCAAAAACAATAGTATGGGCGGATCATTTCACTTATTCAGCGAACATTTTTATGCTTGGCCACAGTAATATTTTGTTTATTTCGTGACCATTTATTGGATGGTAAGGCTGAGTTATCTGATGGAAAGAATAACACCCACAGCCTTTATCTGGTTCCTCTGTCTCTCACTTCTCACATCATAAATTCCTCTTTTGTACTGCTGTTGTTTCAGAGTGAAATTATTAGTTTGATGCTGTCCTGTGGCAAAACCCAGAGACAGATTGAGACCTGGTTCAGACTCCGCAGGAACCAAGACAGGCCCTGTCAAACCAAGAAGTTTGGTGAAGCTGCGTAAGTGCTTTTCTTCACAACCTTTTCCGTGTTCAAGCTACACATGACTTCCCTGAAGAGCACTTGCTTCTCCAGCCACTGCAAAACCCATCGACAGCCCTGGCAAAACCCATGAGAAGTTGATTTTTTTTTTTGCACGAGTTACCTCTAAGCTATGCTTGCTTACATTTTTTAAAATGCCTTTAGTTTGGTCAAAATTCCTGATGTCAAGTATTATTTTGCAGTTGGAGGTTCTTTTTTTACATCACTGCCTTCGTGGCTGGATTGTGCTGTTTAATTGATGTGAGTATGAGTTTTGGAGCATTTTACAGCAATTCAATAGTAACAAAGCATGCTAAAAACATAATTTGTAAGTGAGTCAAAAGCATATAAATATAATTTATATTACAGCTGTCCTTCCATACATTTTAACATGCTCACGTTTCTTCTTTCTCTCTACAGAGACCGTGGTTCTGGGACCACAAGGAGTGCTGGAGGCAGTATCCAGTTCAGGTGAAAACATTACGTAGAGCACCGTTCTGCTTTGGAAAAACAGAATTTGCTCCATCAAAATAGTTTTCAGGAAATGTCTTTCTATTTGGTCAGGCACGTTAGGAAAAATAAAGACTGCATTCATACGCGCGCAGTCCAAACAATGATGAAAGCTCATGCTTTATGTAGAACACCTTGCATGTGTATAGACAGATAAACTGAATATAACAGGCAAGCACGACAGCTGAATCTGAGGTGGAAGGAAACAGATTGCATTTGTTTGAAGGAGGAAATGCAAAACAAGCACGATATGGTACATCCATCTTTTTCCTCAACAATATTACAACAAACAATGAACTCGCTGTGTAAGTTTGAATTCAGTTACTCATCATTGGGTTACTTAAATCTAAATGAGACATGATTAGAAATGGCAAAGGAAATGAATGCATCATGTTTCTGTGTTTTATTTTGGTAATTTATTTCTGTTTTGGACAGTGCATGTCCATTTTCTTGTTGGTAAATTTTGTTCGTGAGCTATGTCTCTTTAGCTCTGTTCTTTGATATTTAACGCAGCCTGTTTCTACATTTAGAACAACATGGGCCTCCCAATATAATGCATTTGTGCTAAAACTCAATTTTAGTAATGAAATTAGTATACAAATTAGTTTCAGGCTCAATTAACCTGACAGCTATTCCCTCAAATACTAGACTATTTGTTTGATCTATAAAATGTATAAAGAAGATGAAATACTTTCTTTATATTTCCCCAAAGCTTAAAGTTACACCTTCAAATTCCTTTTTTCTCAGACTATGACGAACATATACAGTTTCAATGTAAAAAGTGTGTCATAGCAGAGGATGGTTTCGATCCATCGACCTCTGGGTTATGGGCCCAGCACGCTTCCGCTGCGCCACTCTGCTGACTGGCTCTAATGGGCCTCAAACACATAATTTCTTGGTTCACCACAGGAGGAGCAAAGCACTTTGCACAGATCTGTGTTCAGTGATGCTGATACGCTACATTTTAGAATATCATATTTTAGATGCTAGAATCAGTGAATTAATTGGCATTTTTGATTTTAAAAAATTATTTTAACTGCCGTTAATCAGTTTCATGATAGCTGCCTATTTATCTTGTTTTTAATTCAAAGCCGGAGAACCCGGAGAGAACCCACACTGTATGGGGGAGAACATGCAAACTCCACACAGAAAGATCGCGAACCAGCAACCTTCTTGCTGCGAGGCAACGGTGCTAACCACTGACCCACCGCGCAGCCCCTTGTTTTGAATTTTGTATAGTAAAATTAATTAAACTCTTAAGCTGTTGGGTCACTTGGGTCCTATGCTTGTGTAGTAAATATTGAGGTGTTTTCAAATCTCTTTTTAATTGACTTGTAAATAATGCTTCCTCCTCAGCCCATGGAGAGGGCTCACTACTGGTACTACATGCTGGAGTTGGGATTTTATGGCTCTCTTCTTCTCCGGATCTCTGTGGACATCAAGAGGAAGGTGAGCTTCCTTGACTGCTGAATGTTACACAGGCGTTTTCTTCCTGGCTCACTGCATATTTGCCTTTGAGTGAAGTGCTTAAGTCAAGGTATTATGATTGTGTTTGCTTTACCGTGGTCATACTTCATGCTTCACTTACTTTACTTCTGCTTTAATGAGAAACTTCACTCACAAATGGTTAATGAGTAACTAAAGAGCAGGAATTTAGGTTTTTCTGTTGACATTTGAAGGTTAGATTGTTTTACAGTGTTGATGCTTTATATATGTTTGCTTTACCAGGATTTTAAGGAACAAGTGATCCACCATTTGGCTACCATCTTCCTGCTCAGTTTCTCTTATTGTGCCAACTACATTCGTATTGGCACCTTGGTCATGCTGCTTCATGACTCCTCTGACATCCTGCTAGAGGTAACATGTGCATTGCTTCATCCGTACTGCAGAACCAAGATATAAGAAGCTGATTTTCACAAATGTGCCAGCAAACACTATGGTGCTGCTTTCATGTAAACTTGATGTGATCAAAAGTGCAATTTGTAACCAAGTCCTTACAAATTTAAGTAGTCTTTATAGTGCAAGTCACAACAGATTTAAGCCAACCAACATGAGAAAAGAAGCCGACTCTCTAAATGTTGTAATCAGAGGTTCAAACTGCACTTTAGGCTTTTCTTAGAAATTCATATCTTCTCTGAGATCTTTATAGTAGCCTGAAGGAAATGGAACATACTTCATAAGAAGGATCCTGTGACTGGGTCTTGATAGCTGGAGGCACTTCAGCAGCCTGAGTTGGTCTTTGTTTACCTGAAAAAACAAATGGTTGTGCATGAGAAACAGATTAAAGTGTCCTTTCCAACCTGAACTAAGACAAAACAAAAAGCAAAAACAGCTATAAATACATTGAAATACATAGAAATGAGGCAGAAAACAATTCAGTATGTGGTAAATAGCATTGGTCTGGAGTGTACGAAAGGCTGCTCTGGTTACGGAGTTTTTGTTTGTTTTTCTATTATCCTAATCGCCTACATTTATTCATGAACTCTTATTGCATAAACTTTCACACAAAGCTCTCATTATGTTTTATATTGTCAGTTTGATTAATCACGAATAATTCTGCAGTCTGCAAAGATGTTCAACTACGGCACTGGCTGGAGGAAAACGTGTGACACACTGTTTGTTGTGTTCGCTGTGGTCTTCCTAGTGACTCGACTGCTGATTTTCCCCACCAAGTAAGAGATGTTTTTCCCTTTTTTTGTCAATACAATGCTTCATAACTACTTAATGCAACTCGACTGACTAGTAAGTCTACTGTTGGAAATTTGACTCCAGTTGTTTGATCACTTACAGAATCATACACACCACTCTGATACTGTCCATGGAGGTATTTGAGCCCTTTGCTGGCTACTATTTTTTTAACATCCTGCTGATGGTGCTGCAAGGTCTTCACATCTTCTGGGCAGGCTTAATCCTACGCATGGTCTATAAGTTCCTGAAAGGCAAGGTGAGAACCAGCAGTAAAGCCTAAATAAGACATGATGAATATTAGAGTAATTGTAAATGGCTGCATTTATATGGCAGCATTTTATTGACCTATACACATTAATGGAAGCCACATGCAAGGTGCTACTCTCTTTCAAAGCTACAGTGCAGTGCAGCCACATAAAATGTTAGTGTTACGAAATGCAAGTGAGCAAGGAGCCACATTGATCAAATGGAAGGCACTAAGTGTCGTACCTTCAGACATAACATACACAAATGGAGCCACAACCTGCTTTACCGTCTGACCCAGAGCTTCCAATAGCTAAATAGCAGCTTTGATTAGAAAATAAGGTGTCATTTTCTAATTTAGATATAAGATCCAACAGTAGATTAATTCCTCAGCTTTGTCATTTATTTTAAACCCTCTGCCTTTGTCCTCAGCTTGAAAAAGATGAACGCAGTGACGAAGAGAGTGAAGTTGAAGAAGAAGAGATGGAAAAAGGAGGAGAGGAAAATATGGATCAAGGAGATTGTTACTGGGAGAAAAGTAAAGACACTCTTAACTCCAAACTATCTATGCTGACTAACAGTTGTGTCCTTAATAACTTGACCAACCACAGGTCCTCGGTATCCGACAGAATGCGCAAAGCTCAGTAAAGACTGTCTTTATGTAACGTTTCCGTTTCAGACATTGTTTTACCCTTAAAAAAAATAAGCTATTGTTTTATTTAGGACTGTAAGGTGGGTGTGACTGACGAACCTCTTCACAACAGTTCCTGTTTGCTGATGAAACTTAAGGCCCACTTTTAATCGAGTGGCATTTTTAACAAGTACAGGAATGAGAGTTTATTAATCATTCTTGGCATGATAACAAATGTCATAGCAGAGGATGGTTTCGATCCATCGACCTCTGGGTTATGGGCCCAGCACGCTTCCGCTGCGCCACTCTGCTACATGCCATCATCTATTCTTCCTACATACAATACACTTTATGATGTCTTTTTTCTGTCCATAGACAGTAGTCTGTGTAGGAAGAAAAATAAGGTAATCTTAAGCATTTTCAGTGCTTACTAACATACACGGTTGCCTACACTTTAGACTATTACAATGTACAGACCTTTTTTTTTTATTTGGCAAGTTTACGCAGCAGGTATTTGAAAATAAAAAAAAGTTATTAACTAAGAAAGACAAAATTATAGATCCATGCTAAGTAAGTCAATGTAAGTCCCAGCATAGACAGATGTGCTCTTTTAATTTTGTAAAATAGCTAAATTGAAACATATTTACAGCTGACATTGAAATGCTGGAAATAAAGTGATCATTTAGTCTTTCAAAGTCTGTCTCTTGTGATGTCTAAACACTAAAATGTTTTTGGTATGTGATTGTAATAAAATGATGTTGTTTAATTCATGCTAACTTTAAATTGTACATACACAGCCATTAAAATGACCTGTATGTGTCCGTTTACGACTAAAAAGTATAAGCTAATTCGTGATAAAGCCAACCTTTTTTGTATGTATGTTGTTTATTTTTTTTAGACTTTACCTTTTGGCTTTTTATAAATTAAGCAGAGCGAGTTAACAAGTACCCACAGACATGAATACGATCAGCAGATCAACGTATTGCACTTGTTATTGCAGTATGTTTAATTATGCATTTAGAGTGAAACATGCACACATCACATGTCAATCACATGCTGATATTATGCTGTGTAGTTGTAACTGCAGTGCCACAGCAGCATCTGGTGGTTCATACCAGGACCACACTGCTGGGCTGGGTGGGAAGAAGGGTGTGTGCTATTGGGGGCTGGGAGCTGCTCTGAGTCCACCTGTAATAAACGCTCTGAAGCGTCTCAAAGATGATGCGACGGAGGTAATGGAAAGACGTCAGCTGCATATGGTTACTATTTATTTGGTTGAATGTAGCTAAACAACGCCAAAAAGGATGGAGTTGCTCCTTTCCAGGAAAATTGTGTTTTCTCTCGGGACCAACTTTCGTCCCCGTGACGGTCCGTTTAGCACGAACTGATTTGGGGATTTAATTTGCTGGCTTCTTCGTCAGTAGTCAATTATAGCCTACGGTGTTATTAGTAGTTATACATGTTGCTGTATAAATTAAAATATGTTCTTGTTGTTATTAGTTTCGTTAAAGTAGCTGACGCTGTCGTTGTGTTTTAACAGCGTGTAATACGTTACGCTAGCTAGCAGGTATTCAACTTGTTAGCTAGGGTAACATTATATAAATATATGGTACGCTGCATATTAAAGACAGGCCGGACATCCACTAGGTTGGTAAATGTCGATAAAAAAATGTATTAATTGTAGTTTTGAATGTGTGTCGTTATCATTTTAGTAAGTTCTGGCCAAGTTAACAGCGGTGGGTAGTCTAGCTGGCGCCAAACACGGAGCGTGTCGACGTGTCGCAGCGTTGCCTAAAATATACAAAGTTATCATGAAGCCACTTACCCTTTTCCCATGTTTAATTTTCGCCTAGAGTAGCTGTCGTTTTGACTTTCTCTTGTAGTTTCTTATATATTTTTTAATGATTTCCTTACTTTAAAAAAAAAAAAACTTCGTTTGCGATGCCAGTAGCCACCTAGCGGCGAAAACAGTGAACGCGCTTCGTTACAATTGCGCTCGGGTGACGTAAGTGCCGCAAGGGGGCGCTCACGAACCAAACCATCACCGCTTAATATGAATGTTATTGTTTACAGTATTGTACTATATAACCGGTTTAGTGTACAGTACGTCTTCACAGTCGTCTCTGTGGCGCAATCGGTTAGCGCGTTCGGCTGTTAACCGAAAGGTTGGTGGTTCGAGCCCACCCAGGGACGATTTCTATTACTATTGGTTCATTTGATTTATTTATTATCGTTACGAAATAATATGAACGGTGCCGTATTTCCTTGTTTGTGAAACTAGATCGTCACCCTCAATAAATCTATAGCATGCCAGCGCCTCTGACTTACATGACCGCTTCACTCCATGTGTGCAGATATGCCAGCTGGATTTTTATACTTTATACTCGCCGTGGAAAATAATTAGTTTTCCTTTTGCACTGCCATTTTGGAAGTTAACAGCCTTGAGTGCTTTATACATTAATGTTTTTATTAGCCAATTAGGTCGGTGATGATTTAGTTCATATTGCGCACGTTGTCAGAAAAGTGCAGTCGCGGTGCGTTGCGACTGCCACTTACAGGACGCCCTCCTGTCCCTTCAGGTTTACACGGTTCATGGTTACGTGAACCGTTAAAAAATCTATTTCACGAATGAAATTTATGAACTAATGCCGTCACTATTTTAATTTTGGTGTTGTGTCGGCGGTACGTTAAGTACGGTATGGATGTAAAGTCCGGACTGTACCGCCGACACAACGCCGTGCATGCTGTCCTTCACTCCTCCTTTGTAGTAGTTTTCTAGCACCAAACGATATGAGCAAACAGGACTTTGACGTTATAATTTATTAGCTAGATATGTATTTCCTGTAGCCCCAAACAATTCATATTCATGAGGTTAATGTAACTACATTTATTGCAGCCTTTATGTATTATAACATGCCTATCTCTCTTATTATACTGTCATTGTGCAGATAAAACTTAAAATTAGGGCTGGTCCGAATAGCAGTTTCTGGGCTCTGGGTATTGGGGCCCATTCAATGATGAATATCTGGATATTCGGTTTGAAAGGGGGGGAGAACATTCAGATGGTTGGATGTTTGGGTCCAGCCCTACTTAGAATATGGATGAGATTTGTGTTTTTTCAGCTAATGCACCTGTTATGACATAGCCTGCATCATATGACTGTAATATATATTATAGTACAGTAAATATAGATATGAAACTACCCACACTCATCGTTACTTACATTAAGTATATGGTTACTAGAAAGTAGTAATAGTTTGCTGCTGTATTTGGTGTAATTTGCACGTTTCTTCTCTGTTACATGTAGATGGCTTCCAAACAAAAGAAGCACAGAGCTATGGGAGATGAGGAGTGGTTATCCCGTCTCAGAAAGTTTGCCGCTTCCACGCCAGAAGAAGTGGTATGACCTGTATTGGAAGGTAATGTTGGACAGAATAATATCACAATCAAAATCTAATGTACAGTTACTAAGGATAGTGCTAATGTGGGATACATTCTTATGTTTTACTAATATTACAGATTAATCAATGTCTGATGCAGCCGAGGGGACAAACATCTCTGTGTGGAGGGACTCAGAAATGTAGCTGTGGCTTCCATACAAAGAAGGTATTTCTTTTATGAAAACAACATGTGATTGTTTTGTATTCTGTATGAATGAATTCCTCTTGTGCACCTGCAGCCTTCCAGCTCTGTCCCTGTGCTCTCCTCTCAGACACAACCGTGTCCCTCAGCAGCCTCCTCTGTCCCTGTGCCATCTTCTGCACAGACATCAGGACAGAAACAGGTTTACACTGGGAAGGCTGCTGGTGATGCTGCGGAGACGGGCCAGGGAAAGCACCCAGTGGTGGAGATGACGGAGGAGCTCAAGGGGGTCACTGTCACATGTGGCAATTTTTTCACATCATACTCAGTTGTGCAGGAACTCCTGAAGAGGAAAGTGGCCCTGGTGGGGACCATTAGGAGGAACAAGCCAGATCTTCCACCCAAGCTCTTGGAGATGAGGGGGAGCACTGTCTTCTCCTCCATTTTTGCTTTCACCGAAACCACTACTGCGGTGAGCTACATTCCCAAATGGGGGAAAAATGTGATCCTGCTCAGCAGCAAGCACAGAGAGGTAGCAGTGATTGACGATGAGAAACAGAAACCGATCCTCATCACAGATTATAACAGCTGCAAAGATGGCGTCGATAACCTGGACAAGGTATGTGCTTTTACACATTTGTTACCCATGCTGAACCTATTTATTCTTACTGAATTTATGTGTTTGTCTGTAAAATAGAATAAATATAATTAAATATTTTTAGCAATTTTGTTTGTCTTATTTTTCTTGGCCTTCTGTAGGTTGTCACCACCTATGGCTGCAGATGAAAGACCCTTCGCTGGCCACAGGTCCTCTTCTACAACATCATTGATGTCTCTGCCTTCAACGCATTTGTCCTTTTTACTGCCGTTGATCCCTCCTGACGCCAAGGCAAGACATGGAGGAGAAGGATTTTCTTGGAGGTGGTGGGGAAATACCTGGTGTCTCCACAAATCATGAGGAGACAGCGCATTCCCCATGCACCAGCTGCTGCTGCTATGGTGTTCGATGGACAGGCTTCGACAGCCACCCCTACAGATGCTCCTGACACCGACACTTCCACCAGCAACTCCACACTGAAGAGGGGCCTGTGCTGGATGTGCACAAGGAAAAAAAGGAAAGTCACCAAATGCTGCATCAGGTGTAGCAAGTTCGCCTGCACAGAGCACCAAATCTGGTGCTGCAAATCTTGCTGGAAGGACTGAACTCCACCTCCACCCATCTCTAAGCACATACACTCACTCCCTCTTTGTTTCTCTCTCTCTCTCTCTCTCTCTCTCTCTCACACACACACACACACACACACACACACACAAACGCGCTTTCTCTCTCTTTGTCAATTATGCTAAAAGTTTAAATGTAAATAGTTAAAACTCATTGGTTATTTGTACTTCAGTGTTGAGCTCTCCATTTCTTTGTTGTATTTTCTGGGCCTTCTATGTTCAGTTCAATTCTTAGTGCTAATTGTGGTTTTAAAATAGTTGCAACATGAGGAATAAATGTTCATTTTGATAAATCCAATGTTGATTTGAAAAAT